CGAGCGAATGCGCGGGTATCAAGTGAAATGGCATGTTGGCCGCAAATTGTGCCGGCGAACGCTATGATTTCGCCGCGCAGCCCCGGGCGAGCGGCAAAACAAAGAAAGGGGCGTTCGGTGGGTTTTCATGGGGACTTAGTTTAATGCGTCGTCGTTTGTCGTTCTACGTGCACGTGAAACGTGCATGCGCGTGAGCGCGTATCATCAGCCGCGTAACTTCCTCTCATCGCATGTGCCGGAAGAATCGGAACCATGCGGCGAAAATCCGACCAATCAGCGATCGCTCTCGAGAAGCGGCATAGATCACGTTCGCACGTTTCGCTTAACGAGCCAGGTTAAGCTCCCCCTCGTTATATCACTCCGCGAGGATTCGGAGAAAGCGAAGTTGTCGAACGAAGCAGAGGGGGTGCGCGCGATCTCGAGATTTCCGCGGTGTCTTCTAATGAGCTCCCCCGCGCCCGCGCGCGCGCGCGCGCGCGCGGGCGGAAAATCCTGCGCGGAATCGATCCCGCCTTTCCTCCGTCACGTTCGTTCGCGCAGTCGATACTACCGGGGCCGCCAGGCCGTTACATCACGTTCGTTAAAAGAGACGGACCTGCATAATTAAGAAGACTTAGCCGGCAGTGTGCGTCGCACACCGACGCGTACGCGCACACCGAAGCGCGCTATTCGCTCCTATCATTATAATCGGCCGCGAAGCAAACGTTTCAACCGGTAAATATTTAAGTAAGGGGCCGGTAATGAGAGTCGAGATGGATCGATAGACGTACGTGGGATGAGGTGTATACGCACGTCCGTGGGTCGCTGACACTCTCGATAAATATTGTCCGCCTCTCTGCCGCGAGAATCGTACATCCTTGTCCTTTTGCGCGAGCGCAAAGCGTGTGTGTATGTGTGTGTGTGTGTGTCGGAGAGAGATGTGCCGGCGATATCGCGGCGGAGAAATTAAAAAAGTCGAAGGCAAACAGCGCGCGCGCCGCGCCGCTGTCACACAGCGCGCTTTCCTCCCATTTTCCCGAGTCACCTTCTCCCCCCTCGGCTCCTCGAACCCCTCCCAAGTCCGGCGATTCGCGAGCGCCGATGGCCTCGTCGACGCCGACGGGGGCGAATCACGGCTACCTCGTCGAGAAACTCTTTCTCCTTTTCGCGAGCTCGGGATTTACGCTCTCGCGTTTTGCGCGCCCGGTTTGCGTTGTTATTCCCGTTGTTATTTATCGCGCGCGTACGCCAAGTTGCGAGTTCGAATTTCGCGAGGTGGACCCCTGTATTTCCGCGAAGATCGCGCACGCGTACGATGGAAGCGGTGCGAGAAATATCCTTTTAACAAATCTTCCGATAAGGGAGATTCGGCAGACAGGAGGAGAGAAGTGTTCCTGTCTCTCTCGGCCGGGTGAAAACACGTTTCGTCGCGAGAAAAAGGATGCACCCGCGGCAACAATGTGGCGCAGCGACATACTCGTCGTCGTCGTCGTCGTCGTTACCGCAGACGTGCGTGAGGTAACAATAGGTCGCTCTTCTTGCTCGCTCCGAGCAAATGTCGCTGATAAACGCGCCGCGCGTTTGCAACTTTTTACTCTGCGAGCTACATGTCACGATCGCGGAGTGCCGCGGGCATTCGGAGCCGCCTTGCGCGATCAAATTGTCCGACTGTTTCCGCAAAAGTCGCACCTTTCATATTTTCGTTCATTGTCGCGCTCGTGCGCGGACGTCCATTCGCGTATCAATTTCTCAGCGATCTCGCGCGCTGCCTGTACGCTCTCAGCGTCCTTCGAAATATTTCCCATGATGGATTCGACGCGGATACATTGGATGCTTCTCTGACTGAAATTCTGAACGAAATTCTCCGGGGAACGCGTTCGATACAAACTTCGGTAACACCGGAGACCTCGTTGATCGCCAATATGGCGTATATCGCGCGACAGTGCGATCGAATATCATACGAAGAAAGGAGGGCGAAAAAGATGTGATCCGCCCGAGCAGATTGCTCGCGATGTTACGTCGCGGCTATCAATTCGCAGTGTCAATAGCTATAACGCGGAAAACTTACCGTAAGATATGCAAAGTTGATTCGCGACGTGTTTGCCCGAGGTCTACAAATTGTCTTGAGATATTAATAACAGCCGGCGATACTCTGCGCGCCCCCTTCCCCTTCCTCCCGCAATACGTATATAAAAATTGAGTCATAGATGGCACAATTACGATAATTGTATTTTCCTTCGCGTAGAATGGTGGGGGAGTAAAACGGTGCCCGCTCTCCAACAAAGCGGCACCGTCATCAGCTTCGTCTCCATTCCATTGTCCGTGTCCATGCCGTGGACGCGATAATTCTGACGGTAATATATCGAAACGAAACGTCGCGTCGGTAAACTTAATTTCAAGAAAAGAATATCCGTTTGCGCGCACACTGACGACCGGTGAGTCAGAATCGCGCCAAGAAAGGAAAGTTTCTTTCTCGCGCGGCCAAGATACGCGCGAGAAATCGATCCTCCGCTCGTTACGCGTCCGCGCTTTCCCCTCCCCTCCCCCCCCGCCCCGCGCGACTCGCCGGCGAATGAAATTTCGATCGGATCGTGAGGATTCTCTCTCGCCTTCTCGCCTTCTGTCTCTCTCCCGCACCCCTCAGATCTCTTCGTCGTCTACGATCCCGATATGAACGCGCGAGCATTAAATACCCCGCAATTACTCGTCGCGCTTCGCGCGATGACATAAAATTCCTACTCCTTCCGCGAACGCTTGCTCGTTTTTCTCCACGACACCTCCGACTCTCCGCCGCTATTTAATGCACGCTTACATAGGGCAAAGGGGTGGAGAAAGAGGAAGACGCAGAGAGAGAGGGAGAGAGAGAGAGAGAGAGAGAGAGAGAGAGAGAGAGAGAGAGAGATAGCACTCGCGCGACGTCCGCGAGCAGAATTAATTTCTTTTCGATAGAATCTTAACGACTACGCCTTCCGTCGCGTTACACCATTCGGAGGCATCCGCCGGCTTACGTACGCTTTTATCGCCGCTTTACAATCGTAAAACTGTTTGCTCGGAATTTCGAGAGAGAGAGAGAGAGAGAGAGAGAGAGAGAGAGGGAGGGAGGGAGAGAGGGCGAAGGGGGAGAAAGAGCGAGAAAGAGGGCGACGGGTCCGCACAGCTGTTTGCTCGCCGTACTATCGCCGTCGGTCGATCGTCGTTAGACGAGCGACGGTGGACTTTTAGAAGGCCGCGCGACAAGAGTTTACAAGTATTGTCATTCTCTCCCTCTCTTTCTGCCTTTCTCGCTTCGCCGCTCTCTTTTATTATTATTATTATTATTATTATTATTATTATTATTGCTATCAGCACGAGGCCGCGATCTGCGTGCAGGACGATCGTTCTTAAGCGTCAAGATTCGCTCGGGCGATTAGCCGAGAAATTGAGTTTTTTTTTCTCATGTAACGATATCGCGAGCAATTGCAAGATACGTACAAGATTATGCGACTGACGTTAATAAATGATGCCGTCCGCGGCACTTTCTGCTGATGAAATTGTATTCGTCGCGGTGGAATTGCCGCGCGACGCTGCGCCGCCGCGGCCGATTGTTATTATTATAACGTTCTGTTGCCAGAAGTGCATGTGGCGTGTTGTGCGGTGTGAAGTTCATTTACGGCATCGAGAACGATAAAGACAGAAAGGTGCGCGCGCGAGCGCGCGCGCGTTATTCTTCGCTTCGTTTTATTTTTAGACCGCCTCTCGAAAGGAACTACGATTGCCGATACGTTCCCTCGTTTCGAAATTCGTCCGACGACCTTGCTCGATAAAATCGCAATCACGATGTCGAAGAGCCGGCCTATCTTCTCTCTCTCTCCCTCTCTCTCTCTCTCTCTCTCTCTCTCTCTCTCTCTCATTTTCGTTTTCAAAATAATCAGTCGCATCGGGCTTCTAATCAAAATAGAACCGATAAGATAGACAGCAGCAGCCGATCGTCCTCGGCGGGCCGGTCGCGGGCGTTTGAGTCACCGCGTCGCCAGACGCAAATGCTGCTCCACGGCGTGACGGCGACGTGCGCACGGCGGGGCACGATTTATCGGTTGATTCAGCTGCGTTTGGTTAACCTTGGCTCATTATTCCAGACCGCGTGCCTGTTGTCTTTCTCGGCGATAATCGAATTTGCAACGCGCGCGCGCGCGCGCATTCGTAATTCGCTCGCGTCGGCCGGGGGCCGACGATTACATCGTCGTCCCCCCGGCCCCGATAGGAATCGGCCGGTCGGTCGCCTTCTCCGTTTACGATTATGAGTTCCGCGCCGCTTATCGAGACGCTCGATCGCTTAATTCATGATATAACAGTCGCAGTCGCAATTGGAGGGACATCGCGACTCAAATCGATATACCTCGCAACTCAGTGAGGGTGAAAAAAGGCTTCAAAGCAAATGTTCGATCGATGAACATCCAAACGGCGAAAGTTGACCGCTAATAATCAATAACGCACGCTATCGAGTACGCTCGCGAGAAATTCTCGGCTCATTTTGCGAGCGAGATTCGCATCTCGCTCAATGGAAGCCAGTGGATTCGCCGAGACAGCGCGCTGTCGCTGTCCCGCGTGAAGTCGTGCCGAACGTGCTTTGCGTGATTAGCACGTGTGTGACGCGACGATATATTAACAAAGCTTAAAAGCTACCGTCGAAGAAAATCACGTTAATGCTGCCGTGAGTGAAATTTCACGCCGGTATATATATATTTTTTTTATCACTCGGAAGTAAAGAAAGTCAAAGGCGATTAAATATTTCATTATCATCGAACATTAGATAAAAGGTGGGCAAGTTATCGCTTGCAGCGGGCAATTTAATAAACGTTTAATAAGAACGAGAGAAAAGTCGCGCGTGTGGCGTGAAATTTCGTTTTCCACGGTCGGCGAGAAAATTGCGAGAGGCGAGACGGGAGAAATTAAAAGTCGCAGCCAAGCACGACGACGTGAGAGCGCCAAGAGAGTGCGACGATGCACTAATCCGAACACCCCCTCTCGTTTTCGTGTTACAGGTGAGAAACCGCACAAGTGCGTGGTGTGCGGCAAGGCGTTCTCCCAGAGCAGCAACCTGATCACGCACATGCGTAAGCACACCGGCTACAAACCCTTCCAGTGCGGCCTCTGCGACAAGGCCTTCCAGAGGAAGGTCGACCTGCGGAGGCACCGGGAAGGTCAGCACCCGGCGGCGCCGGCGCTCGATTATCGCGCTCTACAGGTACCGTCGCAGCCCAAAGGCAACCGGCACTCGCCAGCATCGTCGACACCCTCGGGTTACCACATGATACCCGTGCCCGGCAGTAGCTGAGACTCGTTCACCTGACAGACGCTCAGTCCGTGAACGCAAGAGGCCCCCCGGCAACCTGCGCGTATCGTCGGGCCCATCAGGATGAGAGACCGCGTGTCCGATACCGGCGAAAGCGACAAACGACACGTGTACTCGAGTCCGCGAGAGTCCTAACGGAGCAATGTACTTTGAGTACGTGCATCAGCGGACACCCCTGGCGCTCGCGGCGCGACGGTGAGGGTTGAGGGTAACTCGCGCTCGCGCGGCCGTTTCGCTTCACGTCGAACACGAGCTTTAGGATTTTTTTTTCCTTCTCTCTTTCTCCCTCTCTCTCTCTCTCTCTCTCTCTCTCTCTCTTTGTCTATCGTATTCACTTGTTACATATATAGAATAAACTCGGGTACGACGAGCACGATGTAACATTCACCATATCGTTGTCTCGAATAATGTACTCGCGTGAACTGCTGTAAATATCAATTATCTTTGAGAACGACTGGAAGAAACGCATCAATTAGCAATTATTGCAGAAATTGCTGCCTACCCTCGTCTTTTCCATGCGGCCGTCTTAGCCGAGTTTACCCTCATTCAACCCCCGCGAGTGCCAGCCGCGCCAAGCGACGGCGCGAGCGCGCACCGCACGCGAGCTGGTCGCAGGGGGAATTGAATCGCTCGGACGTCAGTCTCACGATCGAAAATGTCCCGAGAGATTTCTTTCTCCGAAGAGTCCGCTCGAGTTCCGCTCGAGACGACGCGCTCGTCCGAGACCGTTCGTCCGTCTCCGAGCCATGCGACCGAGCACGCGCGCGTACCGCCGACTATCACGTCGTCGAGCGGCACCGCCACGCAGTCCCGATACTGTGATAGTGTTCCGTGATGCATGTGCTACGCGGGATAATCGAGGACGGATGCGTGTGCGGGCGGGCGGGCGTCATCTTCAAGTAACGCCAGGTGCGCCTCCAAGGAGGCGCGAGGAACACGGCGCGTCGAGTATGCGCCGACAACGACCGGCGCTCTGGTGACATGTGATGCGCGTGTATCAATCAAGGGGGTCGCCTCGAAATGCGCTAATATATCACGTACGTAGCACACACACACACACACACACACACACACACAGACAGACACAAACATCGAATGCCTCTTCTCTTTTCCAACGACCACGCCGGCGCGATGTCGCGCACAGCCGATCTCGAGGCCGATTATAAATTCAATTAGGCGCGACGTTAGTTTCGCATTCCCTTCGTTTCAGCGTGTCTTGACGTCCTCGACGAGCCGTCAACGGCCGTAGTGATATCGCGTGAATGTGTGTGTATTTAACGTCCGTCAGTCGAAGATCGGCCCGAAAGCTAACGAGAGTCTCTGAGACTGAGTGTGTACGTTCGACAGCGGAACGGAAGAGAACGATTGGCGACACGGATTGGCCGGATCAGTCGTCGCGTTTTCCCTTGAGAGCACGCGACGTAAAATTGCGGGATTGACAACGGCCTCGGCTGGGCCTCGCGTGATTGCGCGATAAAGAAAGAAGGAATAATGGCGCAATTGGAGCATCTTCCGCCACGTCGAAGGCCGCCGTCGTCGTCTACTTGCGCGAGCCGATCTCGCTTACGCTCGGCTGCGCGACAAGCGGAATTGTGTCAATATTTTTTCACTGAAATCTCCACACGCCGCTGCCTCTCCGAGCCACTTTCAAGGTACAGTCGCGAGGCCGGCGGACTGTTTATCCGAATTTCGATAGAACAATCGTGTACGTTTAACTGAACACAGCCGCGGCGGCTGGGTCAATATTTTCGACGCGACTCTTGGCCCTGCAGTGCGCTGCAGAATTTACGGTATCAGCGCGGTATCGCTTCTCATCAGAGATTGCACGGGGATTCGGCTGATTTTTATTCGACACTTCACTCCGACGAGCGGAAGGATGCGTGTTCGGATGGGTGTTGTTGAGAAAACATAATTGCAAACTTGTTGCAAGAGAGGCACCATCCTCTGCTCCCGTGACATTTCTAATACGCTGGAAACAACACTGTGTACATATACGCGCACACATATACATATGTATTATATTCCCTCGACGTAAGACGATGTGCGTATGAGGCGCATGTGCAGGATATCACATGTATTCATACACATTAGCGCTTTGTAATTTTCTTATTTATGCTAAATATCTCCCCTTCCTCCGTGAGAGCGATCGCGCACGAACTCTCTCTCTCTCTCTCTCTCTCTCTCTCTCTCTCTCTCTCTCTCTCTCTCTCTCTCTCTCTCTCTATCGGGAGCGACGATGTCGTTGAAAATTGAGCGATCCGAGATCGTTGCGTTCTTAACCCTTTAACGCCTACTGTGGTAACTATAGTTACCAGAAACGCGGATTTAAGAATCCATAACTTAGTGAAGAGAGGAGATATTTTCGTTTTCTTTGCACCTGCACTGTAAAGGTGAATCCTTTTTCTGAAAAAATGGTATATAGATTGTATGTAGATTCGGTTTAGTTTGTTTTTAGCTCAGTCTTAATGATAACATGTTTTGACAAATTCCAAGTAGACATAGTTAGCATTGTTACTGACATCTAGAAGTGCACTGTAAATGAATAGATTGGTATCTGTTATAATTTTATACATTTGGAAGCTTTCTCAGATGCAAAATGTGAAATTAAAAGAATACAGAAATTCAAAATGGCGAATCCCAATATGGTGGGCACGAAAATCAAGAGATCAAGCTATTTTCGTGAAACCCACAGTGATGACCTACAGTTTCTTCTGCGGTTTTTTATATAAAAATGAAGGGACGATTGACTATCTAAATGGTGATCTATAAGATATTCTTCCGAAATAGTAAGCTTGGCGCTCTGAATGATAAACTTCACTCACAAATATAGTAAAGTTTCATTCAGCTGAAAAATGTCAAGCTGACTGTCAGAGTTATGTCGTATAATCTCTCTGTACAGGTTACGCATTTCGTATATGCTTTTAGGATCCAAGTCATATTTACCAATAAACAAAAAACGAACGATAAAAGATTCCAATATAAAATTCTGACAGTTTTTTCGGTTACCGCTACTTGTAGTCTCAGTTCATAAAAACTCAAATTTTATTCTTAAAATACTTGCAAAAAAGTCGGGCGTTAAAGGGTTTAAGCGAGCGGATGCATCGCGCACACACGAGACGTGGGGGCGAATCAACTCTTTCGTGGAGAAGATCCCCGCAAATTGCCACTGCATGACGCTCGAGAGGATGTGCTTCGACAAGTCACTGCGGAAGCAAAGAAAAAAGGAGAAAGGTATACAAGCATCTGGTTTTCTTGTTACGCGGACGCTTAGACGCGTGGCAACGGCGAGCGAATCGACGTAGAGCGTATAAAAGTCAGAGTCGAGGGTGCTTCTGCGTGTCGCGACGATGCCGGCGGCGCGACTCGATCGATCTGTCGTTATTGTTAAGCGAAGTGCCTGAATGTGCCTTTCTTTCGGTGTCGTCGTATAACCGCGAGTCGTTCGTATTTATTGAGTATCACTTGTAACTACTATAGCGAGCTGCGTCCACGTCTATCTAAATACGTGAATGACATTTGTGTGTTTGATGTACACGTAAGTTTCGCATAAGTCGTGCATTCCAGGTGCAGATATCACCGTTGCTCTCGCCCCCCCCTCCCCCTCCTCTCCCTCACTTTTGCCGCGTATTTTACACGAGTCGCGTCAAATTCAACAGAAATTTCGAATCTGCGGCGGCAGTCGTGCGTCAACGTGCGTAATTAATGAGGTCGCGTTACGCGCGACTGATTCGGACGTTCGTAACTGGCCGACAGCTCGCGCCGCTTTCTTCGGCGTGTGTGCCTTCGCGCCTTCCCAATTCGCGATCGATATCTGAGCCTGAGTGCGACGATTGAAATGTACACACGATGCATTTGTATCGAGAGCTCTGAGCTGATTGTGAATAGAGTACTATTTGTGTATCACGTGTCATAGTCTATCGAAGCCAAAGCCACCCCGTGTGTTTGCGAAAATCGGTCGAATAAATCATTCGAACAATGTTCGTAATTGTTCGTCGTGAAATTAACGATGCCATACCATATGACCAACACACACACACACACACACACACACACACACACACACACACAAGCCGTACTTCTCCCACACGAGAAAGACAGAAAGAAAGAAAAAAAAAACGATCGATGTGTAAGCTTCTCCAATTTTCGACTCGTACAATCGCGAAGTCACTTCTTTGCGACGCCTTCGTTGTGTAAATCACTCTTTTGTCCAAAGTTACAAAACTATCGATGACAAGAGTCTTAGGATACGACCGTTAATACGACCTGTGCGTATGCGTTGTTTCTTGTAATATTTCGTCCTTGTATAATATCGCAAGAAATCGGCCTTTCTCCGACATTTCTCTCTCTCTGTTGCATCGCTCACACACTTCGGAGGAGACGCGCGATCGGAGATCCACGTGCGAGAGGAACCTAGGTTAAATTTTCAGGTTTGCGCGCGCGCGCGCGCGTGTGTGTGTGTGTGTGAGAGAGAGAGAGATAGATAGAAAGTCTGTGTAAATAGATTCAACTGGTCAAAATTGCCGAAAGATTATCCGTCCCATATGAAGGAGAGCGACAGGCCGGGGAGCGATGGACGAGGAAATTTCGCAAGAAATTCGCATGTCTGGCAACGAATCATAGCGGCTAGAGGACCAAAGATAGCGTAAGCCGGGCCTGATCGATCGGTAGTGATTTCGGGTTTTCTCCTGCCCGAACTTCGGGAAACGCAAAGCGGGTTGCGTCGTCGAGGAAGCTCGCGGAAACTCGAGACTCTCACCAGAGATCCCGGTCCTTCGTACAATACGTACGTACAGATTGTAACATACCATTAGAATTAGCTAGTTATGTGCGACGAATCGAGGGCGCGTTCGGACGCGGTGGTGACGCTCGTCACGTGCGAACGCGCGGAGAGGGGAAGGATCCTTCAGAGCGCCTAATTATCCGACAACGACGATATACTGTTAACGATTTAGCTCGCTCGCTACGACTTCGCGACGCGAGGATTTCGCACGACGAGCCGGGCTCGTAGCGCGCAGGCGCTATCGTTCTCTCGAGTTAATTAATTAGCGAATACTGCAGCGTGACACTCGTCTGGTCGATTCCGTCCGACGCGCGTCCAGCAATTTCGTGCTATATATTAAGGTTACGTAAACTTACATGTAGAGATCCCGGCGATCGGTCGGTCGATCGATCGATCGACAAGTAAAATACCTTTCGAGGTGTTCGCGCGCTGTCTATGCGAGCGCGGAAGGGAGAAAAAGCGCGTGCGTGTATGCGCGTGTGTGTTTGTGTGCTTGCGAG